GCTCGCGATCACTTGCGCAATGGATAGGAGCTCAAGATGTATGAGCTCCAACAATCCCGGATCGATCGTCTGGAGCAGGGCGAATGGGTACAGCGCCACCGTCCCCTCCTTCTGCGCTGGCTTGGGCCGCGTGATGACGTAGTAGACGACGAAGTGCTCCCCGATGCAGTGGTCTTCGTGATCCACGAAGAATTGGAACATCCCCTATGCCACCGACTGGTACAGCGCACGGTGCAACTCCCACGTGTCTTCGTCTGCGAAGGGCAGCGGTTCCACGTCAGTTAGCTCCTCCAAATACTCCGAGAACTCGCGCATAGGATAAGGCCCCTCCGTGAGTTGATAAGGGAGAGTAGTGTAAGAGAAGAAGGGAGGCATTTAGTACCGGGCAGGGGGGATAGCTTGGATGTTGAGAGGGGCAGCGGGAGGAAGAAGCGCGGGGAGTTGCGGCACCAACGCGATTGGTCTGTCCTCTGCCCTGCGCAGCAGCGCTTCGTGGGCTGTGAATCGGTGTCTCCCTCGTCCTTGCACTCTTGCCACTGGTCTAACCGCCTGCACTGCTTACTCGTGCACAAAACTCCACGCCAGCTCTTGACTCAGCAGTGGAAGGATCGTCAAGTCTCTGATAAAGATGGCGACCCTATGCACGAAGTTGGGTGCCACCTGGAGCGCGCGGAACTCCATGAACACTCGACTCGTCTGCCGCCCAGGCAACTGCGTCACGTCCATGTACACCCCTGCATACGTCAGCCGATCACAAAGTAACGAGTATGCTGCCAGATCAGCAACCCCGGGCACCAGCACGTTCACATGCTGAATGTCGTATCGTAACTGCCTTTCCTCATTGAACTGGTGCCGCAACAAGCCACTTGCAAGTGGCGTCTGGAAATGCTCGAGGGGTTCATGCTCCGGCTGGCGATGGTTCATCCTGCTCCGTGAAACTCTCAGCACCAAGGGACGAGGCAGATCGGGAAGAGGATGAAGACGAAGAAGGAGAGGGGGAGAGAGAGGACGAAGGCTCGGACGGGGCAAGAGCCGATTCAGGACCCAGAGATGGCCGAAACAGCCGAAGAGCCGCCGCGTGTCGCGTATGTAACCTGGCCTGCGTGCTATGCCGGGGGACCAGCTTCACGGAGTGCTGTCCTCGTGCGCCAACTTCCGTCACTTCGTAAATGCCGGTATACCGTGGGTGGATCTTGGAGGAGCGCACAGATTTATGTACGTGCACCAAGTCCCCGATTTTATAATGGGGCATTGGTCCCGCTGTCGCGTGTCGGTTCTCACAGTCCCGGATCTGCCGTTGATGCGTCAGATCTACAGCCCTTTGTCGTCTTCGGGCTAACGCGGGATAGGTCCGGGCCATCAGATCCAGATAATGCTGGGCCTTGTCCTTGTGCTGGGCCTGGGTCACTGTAACTTTCGTACCCACTAGAGGTGACAACTGCACTCTGGGGACGCTATTGGTTCTCAGTTGGAACGGGGACACCCCGGTGCTCGCGTGGGGAGTAGCCCGATAGACGGCCAGAATGTGGTCGACTATGACAGGCCAAGGTCTGGTATCACCTGCGGTGATATTCCGTCTTAGTGTAGTCTTGATCATTCGGTTGGCATTCTCTATGAGCCCGTTGGCTTGAGGCCAGTGCCCTGGGGAGTATGAAATTCTGACGTCTGCCCTTACAAGAT